GGGCGGCCTGTATGTGTTCATACGAGGGCAGCTCCGTCAGGTCTCCCAGTGCTGCTACTGCAGGCTTACTGCGCAGCATCTTGGTGGTCACTCTTTTAATGTCACTGGCTGTCACGTTACCTGGAAATTATTTGTTGACAAGTCAAGCCAGGTGAAATAAAACAATTTCTACTTATTAATTTTGGATGCAACTGTTTCCCCTAACACAGGTATATTCTGTGACACTTTTAAGGCAATTTACTGTTAGGACCAGTAAATGTTGTTCAATACTCACTTATTAAATCACACAGTTCATGTGGCAGCTTTCTCTTTCCTGTTGAAAGAACCTGACGACCTACATCTTCAAAAATAACTGGCCGCGATTCGAGGTTCATCATCAGCATGGACTTGAGCTGAGTCTTGGCCCTTTCCAGTTCCATCTGGATACAGTGGTAACATAAATGTTTTATTTTTGATTTCGTAACAATAACTAATATTACATACTGTAATCTGAGGTGGATTTTGCCTGTAGCAATTGTTACCTCTCCCACACTGGCAGCCATCTGAATAAACTCTCTGGTTATTATTTCCACCATTTCTCGCACCTGGAGATGAATGTATGTAATGATAAGCACACTACATAAACAAGGACCCCATAAACCAAAATGCTAACCATTTACAAGCAGAAAATATTTTACAAGTAGATCACATTCAAATTCAAGAAAAAGAAACTAACAAGGGCCGCCAAGTACAATTACAGGGTTAAATTTAGTACCTGGTTCACTGTCATTCCATGCCATTTTTCAGTACTTCCTATTTCAACAAGTGGCAAAAAATGTATGGATGGAACCAAATAAAGTGATTAATGAATTTAATTTGCTGCCTATAGCAGATAATGGGAAAAGACTTTGGCAAATCAAAATTTTTGGTGGAACTACAGTAAACAAACAAGACTTTTCATGTCTGTACCGACCTGTCTGGGGTCTGCACTAGCATGGATACACAGCAGACCACTGTCCTCGTAGCTATGATGGTAGGAGGTGGCATTGTACATCCAATGATGCCTACAACAAACAAAACAACCAAAATCAATATCAGCTAATTAAACCAGCTTTCCTGGAGCTGTATTAGTAGAGATTAGATGCTCACCTGTTGAGCACATTCAGGTACAGGCGGGTGAACATGCCTTTCCCAGGTCCTCCTGCAGAAAAGGAACCACCTCCACCCATCATCATGTTGAGCACCGCGAATGGGATGAAGTCATCCTCCTGGAAAGGAAAATAAACTTTTTTTTTATTTGGAAGTTTGTTGCTAACAGGTATCAGGCACTGAATGGAGCCCAGCATTAGGAACACACACCCGGAAGGAGCAGCTTTCCAGGCCGATCATGATGTGGGTGAGCTCTGGAATCGGAGTGGGGCCAAGGCTGACATCTGACATATCCTTCTCCATCTAACAAATAAAAAGATGTCATTAGCCTACTTTAAGACTAACTGCAGCAATACTTAGATCTGTATTTCCTCTTTTATGTCTGAAATATTCCCTATTACTATTTTTCTAAAAGTACTGTTACAAATATCACAAAAGAAAAAAAGATACCAAGGAGGATATTTCTCCTCTGTAACTGCAGGCAAACAATTTGCTAAAAAAATCTGAGGACATTAAAGTGGCTGTAAGCAATGTTTTACAGTAACAGTGTATGAAATCACAATGTTAAAACAAAGTGAAGATGTGAAAGGGGTGCATTTAATTGACAAAAAATTCCCCCAGCAGTGGTGCAGACCAAGAACAGAGCTAAAAGAGAGTGACTTTGGACATCCACCCACCCGGTGGCCAGAAAAACTATTCCAAATGGATGATAATGTTGCTTCTTAACTACTGGATTAGTAAGTGTTTGATAATACATTTGCCATAGAAGAAGATGCAGTATGTTAATGCCTTCAAGTGGCCAGGAGGGACCATTTTACACCTGGAAAATCTGCTACAGAAATGTTTGGAGCCAGATGTTGTGCAAAGATGACTAATAATTCACCTTGACAATACCACCAGTGTACTGTGCTACAGAGAGGTCCACATTGGATGCTGTGCTCGCTTCCCACGCTGGCCTCACACCCAGAAGGTATTTCCTGGCACATTCAACCAGCTGTTCATGTTCGATGCCCACTCCAGCCAGGACCATCCGCTCAGGACAGTAGTAGTTACGTAAGTAGCTATGAAGCACTTTCTTGTCAATCTTGTCCACGTTGTCTGCAGGACAAAAACGAGGCAGTCCGACCGTGTTGCCTCGATATGCAGCCTGGAAAACAACAATAAGTCATGTACATGTTTAAGAATAAAAAGCATTATGAATCATTACAAATATGGGGTTTTAATTGGAACATCTTTCAGCGCAAATAGTAAGAGTCTTCAAATCAGACCAGAAGACCATGATGCAGTGGTGGAGAGTCTATAAAATGACAGAGAACAGTGAGAAATGTCCAAGAATCCAATGTAGTAACTTGGAACAGATTTGTGTGAACAACAGACCACAACCCAAGTATATTTTATTAAAATTTTGTAAATCAGAGAAAGCGGTTAATTTTCACATTTAAGAAGGTGTGTTAATTATCGGTCAATCAACTAGTCAGTTTCAGATACTTAAAAGAGTGCAGAGATAACTTTTTTAACAAATTATTGAACTGACTATTATTGAACTGACTTCACTTGGTACATTTGCATTCAGTTAAAAATACAACATACAGTAATATTAGTTGCAGCTTCAAACAAGTTAATATTGTTACCCTTCATTTCATGTAGTTATGAAATTAGTACCTTTTTAATATGCAGATTAAGCTCAAGGTAAAAGTTGGTGCCTCCTCTGATGGGTTCTGTCGGCATTCTTACATGCTACAGTACAATTCACCAAACTAAGTGATCACTTAATAGGTTGATTGTGGCAGCCCTAAAAATTTATAACTTTGTAGATAAAAGTCATGGATTGATTGATGTCACTTTAAGAGAGAGCTAGTTTGCCTTGTCAGTGACATGTCACTCACAGCATGGATCATCTCGGTGAGTAAAGGCTCAGGGTCCGGCCTCATGTTTAGATCTTCTAACTCAAAACGAACTGCCATTCTGGTCATCTCAAGCTCTTCATCTGCACAAAACAAAGACAGACCACTTTACCACAACACTGGTGCAGTGGCCTCACACATTCTCCAGGACTGATGTGTCAGTTCAAGTCAGCCTAGACTTACCCAACAGGCGAGGCTGTAGTACAACATCAGAGAGAACACTGACTGCTGTGTCCAGACCCTTCACCTCAGCAGACACTGCATACATGGTGGTATCTCTGCACAGCAAAAATCACACACATAAACAACTGCATTAGCCATGTAATGCAATAGAGGGAAGAACAACACTGACACAGGCATTGTACTGAAAGAGCTTATACCTTGACGTCTGGCAGTCACATATCCCTCCATGCTTTTCCAGCATGAGAAGGATTTCATCTTTACTCCCGTACTGAGCCGTGGACTTGAAAGAGAGCAATACACTGTTGTCAGAATCATGTGAAAATGTCGACCTTTTAATTTTCACTCTCTACTTTTTTTTTAATTCTGGTTCTTTATTTTATTTTATGTTTAATTCATGAGCATGTTTTAGGCTTTGCTTGCTAAGAATATGATTTATAATAAAAAAAAATACTTGAAGTTAAACTTCCAGCTTTTCTATGATCACCTTAGACTGGACATTAAGAATAAATTGGAAGTGTAAAGAAAATGAACTGACAAAAGTCTCAAAAGTACTTACAGAAAAAGCAAGTTTCTCTAAGAAGTGTGCTATTCCACTTGGATATTTTGCTTCATATCTGGATCCAGAGTTCACTAAAACTTAGACAATAACAAAGAAAACATCCACATTGTATCCACTTCATACAAAACCTAAAGACAATAAGATGCAATTATAATTTCACTTTTGCAACTTACCTCCAACTGTGCAGAATTGACCAAACTTATTTTGGGAGGCCACTTTGAGGCCATTTTCTAGAGCAGTGATCTTGGTCTCATATTTTTCCTGACCATCCACATTTGCAAACACTGGCTTGGGGATCCCAGGCAGCGGTGCAGAGAGGGTGATATTTGGGTATCCATTGCCACTGCTGTAATTCCTGTACGCTGCAATCCCAAACCTTTGAGGACAATAAAGCAATGTTTAATCTCAGCAACTATTTAGAGCTGCAAAGATTAGTAAAATGAGTTTCTGATTTTCTTACATAGTGACAAACTTACCAATGACAACAGGTGCAGCTGTAAAACTGTATTTAAATTAACTTGAGCAAAAGTAACCAAATTGCAACTTACACCAAAGTAACACTAATGCAGACTGATCGAACAACAAATCTTCCTTCACATTAATATAACGTTAGTTAGCAAAACTCAACTTTTAACGTTGCATTTAGGTTACCTGGATGATCAACAAGCAACAAATGTTTAACTGGAAAAAACCCCCCAACTGGATCATCCAAACATTTTAACTACCTCACTTCTACAAAATATCATCACCATCAACTGGTCAATGTTGTACCTCTCATTTCATTAACCAACGTTAACTAATTATGTTACGTTATCCACATATGAAGCTAACAGTTAGCACCAAGCTAACTGAGTAAACCAACGTTAGTAAAGTCTGTGATGAGGTCGCAGACGTTAAGACGCTGCGGATGTCAGACGAAGACAAAACATGAAACACACTGGATATACTGGAGGTGTTGTTTCTCTGTATTCATATACACCCCGGGGAGAATTTTACAGCATTTAGTTTAAATATGTTATTACCTTTGAACACGACTCCAAGTTCCACACTTTGGCATGAAAGCCGCCATTTTGGATCCCCCATGACGACAAGGTAACCCGGATGATGATGATGAAAATTTTCTAAAGTACTTCCGTCGCAGACAACTTTCATATGCCTACAAACATTAATCAGGTAAGGGCTGGGGCAAATAACACATTTTGTTAATTTATGAAGTGAAAAGAAGCAAATACAACCCTTACAGTGAACAAATATTAAATAACGAGCATTTCTTCAAATATTAATGCGTTGCTACTTTTTATTTCATGAGAAAAATGCAGTAAAACACAAATCGAGGTGTGTGCATAAGTTTGGACACCAACTTACTTGTAAAACATAGAATTTCATTTATATTTTAACCACTTCGTTTTCCAGTGGACTGCCCGCAGGTCTGTGAGTGCTTTTTGTCTTCTTTGTCCTGGTCATCTTTTGTATCATGTTTGCTTTGCTCAAGTCTGGAGCAAATAGTGTCACTGCAAGCAGCTTGCAAGGATGAAAATGTATTAACACCGAACCGGTGTCTCTCTAATGGGTTTTGTGATCCAAAATTGATACTTTAGAGTGGTCTGCAGTTATTTCACTTTTCACACAGTTTCTAGGGAGGAACATGATGCCAAATATCTGCACACCTGGAAGGAGTGGTCCCACCATGGTATGGTCTTCTATTGATGTTTGACAGATTGACATTAAGAAAGACACCCTGTACAGTATGTCACGGGCTCAACAACAGTCTTGTTTTCCAGGAATTAGTGCTGAAACTCACCAAATGTTGGAGCAGGCCTTATGTTTAACTGAGTTCCATGGTGATGCCCACCCCATCTTCCTCACCCCAGCCTTCGTCCTCCTTTCACTTCTTGTTTCTGGTACCTTCACACTGCTGTCATGAGTTTGCTCCAAAGACCAATAACAGACAACTTAAAAACTTCACCTATAGTTGATAAAAGTATTAGCAAATTATTTGTAAATGTAATTATTATCCTACATCATACATCAAGGAGTTCATTGTCCTTCTGACCTGGGGGGGGGGGGGCCTAAATATCAATCAATAGTGTACATCATTAACTAATTCTGAGAAAAGTCAGCGGGTCTGTATCAGACAGAAGTCTCCTTTAGTATCTACATTAAACTGTGCTCTCACACAGAATGTTTGAGAGAACTGGGATGCTACACCTCCTTTTGTGAATTTATATGTTTGATGTTGTCCTGAATCCAACAATGTTACATTTTGCCTGATAAATCAGTCTTTGTCTGCTTAATTAAAATGACCCTTCCTGCATAGATTATAAATCGGTGCATTTGTACTTTAATTTCCATTTGATTATACTGAATGGACTATCAATTTACATTTGCAAGGACTTTATCTGGCCCCAGTAGACATGTTGCAAGAATACAGTATGTTAGCTGCTGCCATGCAAGTGAATAAGTGAGACAGAACTGCATGGATAGCTTTGTATGTTTGTATCTTTTCTATCATAAACAGAGGTCAGGTTATTGTGGGAGCAAGGTTAAGCATCTCCATCCATGCCAGTGTGAGGCTGTACTTAGCCAAAATGGTGCTGTGAGCTAAATGCTGACCTGCTGGTGTTTGGCAGGTGTAATGTTTTTTTTACCATCAGTTTAGCCTGTTAGCATTATAATTAGTAACAAATAGAAAGTACAGATGTGGCAGATGGGAATACCATTAGTCTTAGTATTCTGTCATAAAACAAATTATTGTGATGCAGTATATTAACTTAATTACTGTAGATAATCAAGGGATCACCAAAATTGGTCAAAATTTTGACTAAATATGAAGGTCAGTACACGTTGGCTATAAGCGCCTACAGTAGTTCTTCACTTTAACACAAACACTTGGCTTTGAATTTCAGTTTATTGTTTTGTGATCAGAGTGTAGTGTGTAGATCATGTTTGCTTCTGTTTTCTGACTAAATAATGGAAAGACAATTAAGGTTTTTGTGCTCATTACAGCTGTTGGTTTTGAATGAGAGTGCGAGTGTGTGTGCATGTATGTGTGCATGTGAAGGGGGGCTGAGGGTGTCCAGTACATGCGAGCGACTGTTGCTTGTCTTCTCCCAGCTGGAAGCTCGGTAAATGCATCAGGAGAACAGAGGTTCAGACAGAAACTGACTGAAGACAAATGGGCTGATTGTAAACCAACACAGAAACAATCCCTGGACACATGCACAGTAAGTATCAGTGCTCTTAATGTTCCTTCAGTGTTGATGAAATGCTTTGTATTGTGATTATCATGCAAAAATTAAATTCATTTTGTATTTGTCTAATGTTCAGCCTTGCAAACCTGATTAAGGTAGTTTCAGGTGTAGTGTGCTGCTTTTTGTAGCTGTTAACATGATTGAATCATATGCGAAGTCATTCAGTGTCTGAGGGCAGTGTTGGACAACGTACTAAATAGAGCCTAAGCACTGAATTTGTGTTTCTCTTGTCTATCTGTTGAATGCATACAAGTAGTTGACAGTATTACATTCAGGTTTATTTCTGTGCTAATGTAGCAATGTGATATTCATCATGCTCATGAGAGAGACTATAAACCAACCAAAGACATGTTTCCAAATGTTGCGAGTAAGATACAGGTAATAAAAAACACAGCACTTCAAATTCTAGCTAGCAAATTCTAGCAAATATTGCTGTGAAATGCAATTTAAACAGCATTACCTTTCATATGTGATGGACTGAAGATGAAAAGTAAAACCTTCAGTGAACTGTATTTTTGTCAGTAGGCTTCTACTGAAAGAAAAATGAATGGAGATTTGTTCAAATATGAATTATACCTTTATATTTTGTAAGTGACATCTTAATACAAAGTGATGCATTCATCCACTTCACAGGAGCTAGAGCCCATCTGAGTCTCAGCCACTTCCTTTAAGTATCAGCCAGAGACTGTGACAGTGACATTTAATCTTATTTGGCATAATTTGTGCATTTCTCAAAGACTACAACAACATTTGGGGAAAAGCAGCAATAAGCATTAAGTGCTGACACATGTAAAGTACCACACAGTTCAGTTGTGGATAGCATTCAGCGATGATTCAAACGCTGCATCTTCACTTGTTTTATTTGATATAGAGACAATAAAAACAATGAAGATAATGCTTTGGACAATCTGCACTGAAAGAAAGAGAATACAAGTCAGTGTGTGGCCTAAAACATCTTAATGACATGCTAAACAGTGTAAATGATCTGTTGTGAGTCACACAAATTCACACCCCCGGCCCCTTTGCATTATGCTAGTGTAACCAGCCACTAGCCCCAATCAAGCAATCAAGCATTGATGCATTTAGTTCCACAGTGATGACTAATGTACTAATGTCCAAAATCAAATGTTTTTTATTCATGGGTTCAAGTAGTCTGTGTCAACACTGGTAGGAGCTTTTTTCCCCAGTCTTTTGAGTTATTTCATCCTCTAACAGGGGCCAAGTGAAATAAAAATTACTGATAATTCTTACTATGAACTTCCTGATAATATGGTGTTATTTGGAAAAGTAATGCACTTCTAATAAAATGTAGGGGGAGGTGATACTGTGTAAAAACAGGCCTTATTTTTTTTTACACCATTTACTCATCGATATTAGAAAAAATGTTTTTCTGTACATTTGTGGCATTTTCAGACAATAAAGGATCAGCCCTTACATGGCCATACTGAAGATCATAAAAGCCTATATATGATCAGACGGTAGCTGTCCTTGCAGGGACCAATAACTGATCTTCGTAGTACAAAGCTCCGCAGCCTCTTTTCATGTCACTTTCATTGAGTGGAGGGCCACAGTGCGAGCTCTCTAAAGTGGCTGGGCCCATTCAAGGGAACTAAAGAGGACAAAGCTGAGCTCACTGTGGTGCCACAGACTCACAACCAAAATAGGAATGAAGCAAAGGGAAAAGGGAGGGGAGGCATGAAGAGCAAGAGAGACAGAGAGTGTGTAGTGAATACATTTCCTAGTGCTGATTAGAAGTGAATCTACGGTATGCAAACAACAGGTTCATCGTTTGTTTTGTAGAAATGTGGTAAAGGATGCAGTAATGGTATGAAAGACTTGCGCACATTATTCCATATTGCATACTGTAAATGTAAAATCACTGGGTCTCTGGGTAAAGATATTGGTAAATACAGCACCATTATGTTACTTTTGGGTTATTTACCCAAACTGGTATGGTATGGTTGCTCACTGTTATAGTCTACAGCTCTTTATAAACTGATTGTTACTAATTCAGAGTAATAGTAGTACATGTGAAGTAACATAATTTCCAGCAACCCTTCAGTGAGACAGTTTAATTCACACTTTATTTCTGCACCTCCTTGTCTGAAATGTAACCACGGTTCATTACCAGATGCATGTTTGGTAAATATATTGTTGTAGACATGCAAATGGCTGATAATCTGTCAGAAAACAAGCAGTCTGTGTCAGTCTCCATGGTATGGTATTACTTTACTTTACCATGGTAAAGTAACAGCTAAGGTTGAAATGGACCACATTTCCAGTTCAAACTCTGCCTGTCTGTTGTGTGCACACTGTCAGGTGACACCATGGGTGAAGCTGTATGGTGGTTTCCTAATGCCTCAATGGGAGCCCTGCAGTAGGATGCATGCCACCATTTGGACATTCCCACAGATGCCTTCCCACCTCTGCTTCCTCATCCTGTCCAGCTTGGCAATCTCATCCCAACTGGGTGAGTCCGTGTACCTCTTACTATAAGTTAACTCAGCTAGTTACTAACCTCGATTTTCTGTTTGTACTGTGTCTCCCAGGTTTGGAGGATGTTTTCTTCAGTCCCCAGGACCAGACAGTCAGAGAGGAAGAGACAGTTTTCTTCCACTGTGTGTCTGGGGAAAGTTCACCTCCTGCGAGCATCACGTGGCTCAAAGATGGAAAGGTGGTCACAAGAGGTAGACTGATTCAGGTAAGCAGTGACGGACAACACCCACAGACTGATCCGTTTAATAGATACGATTGGCTTTTTAAAATTGGCATTCGGTACCACTGGAGGTTTCAGTCAGTGAACCTTCTGAACACTGCAGGATTTGAGGTCAGCATATTACGCCTCATTTTGGAGGGGTTATGAGGCTAGTATTATCAGCTAAGTAGTCTTCATGCACCTTGTGAATGCAGTCCACACTGTAGATTAGTAGGATGGCTGTCTATTTCTTTTGTCTTGCTTAGCATAACATAGTGTGATCAGACAGTGCTAACAAAATCTGTGGGGCACTATTTTGCCAATGTACTTTTGAAAACATTGCACATCCACCTCCAAGAGTGGTTCATCATTTTGCAACAGGGAAAACAGTATTATGCAGTGGATCTATTGCCTCACCACAAACACCCGATCAAAACGTCCAACCAGCACACTCAAAGGTTACTCATGAACACATTATAACTTGTTTGTTTAATCTGTACAAAACCTGAAATGTAAAACAGTCAAGATGTCAAACTTTTTCCTGTTCAGGGTGAGTATGGAGGTGGTAACCAGAAGAAAACCTCAGGCACTCTGCATCTTTTCAACGTAACATTAGAAGATGATGGGATGTACCTTTGTGTCACACACAATCCTTTACTGAACATCAGCAAGGAGAGCAAAGCAGCTAAACTAACAGTGCAGGGTGAGTGCATATTCTCAGTTCTAATTTTTCTTTTTAATCTGTCTGATCCTTTCAACAAGTTAAATTCAGAGAAAAATAAATACCAAGATAGGGATGGAATTAACAGTTTTTTGACTAATCATTTTGTTTAAAAAATACCAGAAAATAATGTAATAAAAAGTTTTTGTCAGTAGTGAAACAGGGCATCAGACCCCTGGGATCACAAAATGTTTAAAACTGGAAACTAAAGACATTTAACTTTATTTGTTTCAAGAGCCAGTGCTATTGGTCAATTATCTTCTAGTGTTGGAACTCCATATGCGTCTGCTGTCTTTCAGGTGTCCCCAGACAGCTGCAGATCATCCAGGGCCCTGACAACATCACTGTTGCTATGGGAACAGAGGTCTCCATGCATTGTGCCATTCGTGGCTTCCCTGTTCCCATGGTACACTGGTTCAAAGACGGCTGCCTCCTGACAAACTGCTCGGCCTCGTTCAGCCTGCAGAACAATGGACAGCTGCTCACATTCAGGTCTAACACTGCAGGGACCAGAGGAATATTAATTCTTGATTGTTTTTTGCCAAATTGTAATAATGAAAAGTGCACTATGCTCGTTATGCATTGAGCTTGTTTAGTGGTGTGCTGTTGTGGTTGTTCATGATTTGCCAGTCCAGAGTCTAGATTTCAGAGTCACACAGAAGTAGTGAGACACACTGAATGTTTGACTTTAACCTCTAGAGTCCTGAGCTTTGGAAACCCAAGCTGTGCGGTCCTCATATGAGGACGCAGGGACTCTAGAGGTTAACAATGGTGTTATCATTTCTGGCTGTGCTATCCAGGAATGTGACAAAGGAGGACGAGGGCTTTTATCACTGTGAAGCATCCAACCAGAAAGAGACAATCAAGTCCCAGCCAGCCTTCCTACTTCCAGCTGGTACTATATACACTTACATCTGCTGTAAACTAAGTTGTTTAAAGTAGTACTTACAAGTAAATAATTTTCAAAGTAAGTAAATAAGTCTTATTAAAACAAACAAGACAACATCCAATTTAATTAATAGTTTTTATCTCAGACACATTTAACTACATGTCCAGCTCTTTGTAACCATGCCTTTGTCATGGTTAAGTTGATTTTTCACTGGGTAAACATAATGAAAACACTTCCTCTTGTGAATTCTGCCAAAATTTATTAAAAGGCCTACCTGTTGTAGAACTGGTCATTCAAAGCATTATTTGTAAATTCAGCAGTATTTTTTTACAAAATTCACTATTAGTGTTATTTAGTCTCTTTAATTGAATTTTTTGCTGATTTTAGTAGTTTGCTAATAAACCAATATGTGACTTTTTGTACATTTTTATGTCTAGCCAAATATCAAATAAAGGTTTTTATTGTTCTCTGGTTCCAGTTCCTGCACAATAACAGGAAAATAAATACCCACTGAAACAAAGATTACAATAATGACAAAGTCTGGGGACTATTAAAGAATGGTTAATAGAGATACAGTCTTCCCAGACTTTAAATTTTTGTTTTTACACATAGCATGACTGTTGCAGCTCAGTGGGAAACTGAAGAGCAGGAACAGCAGATGTACATTTAAGCGACATGCATGTCTTGTGTCCAGAGATGGACTGGAGTTTCATCCGACAGCCCACAAACCTGATGGTGAAGAGAGGAGAAAATGCCACAGTCACCTGCAGGCCTCCATACAGCAGACCAGCAGCCCAGGTGTCCTGGTTCAAGAATAACCAGCTCTTCTCTCCCGCAGCCCATGTAACTGTGCTACCCAGTGGAGACCTGTTCTTTTACAGGTGTGTGTTTGTACTGTAGTGTGTGTTTAAAGATATGCCATGTGAAATGTGTTTGAATATTACATTTCCCAAAATATTTCTGTTTTTTAAAACTTTGTTCTCAGGTTATTTGTCTTAAAATACCAAAACATTACAAAAAAGTTTTTCAATACAGAACTAAATTAGAACCAGCAGAGGACACTATAACTACTGTTGTGGAAAGCTTTCTACAAATGTTTAAAATGAGGGTTGAAAGAGGGTATTTGTCTTTGAATCTTTTATTCTCTGCAAAGAGGAGCATACAACTGACAGAGTTTCAGACAGTACAGTCTGTCAGTCAAAACTCAAAAATCCAGACAATATCTTTGTATTTATAATCGCTTTGCAGACAAGAAGACAAGAAGTGTGTGCAAAAGAGAAAGCTGGTTAAAATTAAATGTCTTAACCCCTTACAAGGAAATCATACATTTTCTGCATAGCAACACAAACATCAATTATAGTGTGAACTTGTACTCTTGACACAAGATCTAGGAACCTGAAATAAAGCAAAGAGCAGTAGGAAACATCACCACATACGGAACTATCAGTATACTTCTAAGTACTGCGGCTTCTAAACATTCAATACAAAATTACAACTACACAACACAGCTGACTATTCACACTCACAGATTTTTGACGTTCATTCGCTATCGCTGTTTTGTGAACTTGCAATCAAATTTCAGACTTTTGAAGGTTTCTACAAACATGTATTTTGATGTTATCCTCTGCAGTGTCCAAGAGTATGACAGTGGGAGTTACTTCTGCAGGGCCTCCAATGTCCATCTTCAGAGATTTCTCACATCTAGAAGAGCGACGCTAACCGTGCTGGGTACGACCATGCTGTGCCACTTGACACTTCTGACTGTTGCTCCATGTAAAGGTAACTATCGTTATGAGCTATTTCTCTTCCTGGCAGCACCTCCATCAGTGACGCTGTGGCCCCAGGTGCTGACTGTACCAGTAGGTGCCCAGGTGGTGCTGGAGTGCCAGGTGTCAGGTCACCCTCCACCCTTCATCAGCTGGGTCAAGAGAGGCCACTCCAAGCAGACTGGAGGCAAGGTTGCTTTGGGGTACGGTCGTGTGTTGTAGTGGTGAGATGTACCTAAGTACATTTATTCAGGTGCTACACTTTAGTACAAGCTGAGGTTATTTCTTATGCTACTACATTTATCTGACAGCTACAGTTGCTTTTTAGAATAAGATTTTATCTTTTGGTTTGTGCCTACGTGGGGACCCTTGTTTAGCAGTTCCACAAAAGAGTGATTTGTTTTTTTAAACAACAGTTTGTTTACCTTAAATAAATATTTGATGTACAAAGAAGTACTCACCAAGCATGTAATTAATAGAGATGTATGTGTTGGAACTTTTTATTATGTCCGCTCCCCTTAATCATGTCACGAGCCCATCAGCTTTATCTTGTGACCTGTTGGGAGTGGCGTGATCCCTAAGTTGGGAACCACTGGACTAAGATACTTAACTGTATTTACAATAAAGTAGTTAAATGACAAAAATGAAAATGCTAATTACACACTTATGCATCTGATAATATCAAATAGAGCAATGCTTCAATCACAGGAGACATTTTACTGCAGAATGACTACTTTTACCTTTAATACTTTAACTACATTCAGATTTTAATACTTCTATTCTTTTATGTTAAGATCTGTACTTGTATTTGTACTTGCAATAGAGTATTTTTACAGTGTTGCATTGGTAATTTTACTCAGGTAAAGGATTTGACTACTTTTTCTACTGTTAATGTGTTGCAACTTTATTGAAAAGCAAAAATGGTTATTATTTTCTTTTGACTTCATTTGTTCACTAGGAAGGGATAAGGATAAAGATAATCACTTTTATTTGGCCAAGTATGTTACACACAAGGAAGCTGTTTCTGGTATAGAACCGAGGCAGCCATTTGCGGCACCAACTCAACCGATGGCTCTAACCATCGGGGGCAACTTGGGGGTTCAGTGTCTTGCCCAAGGACACTTTGACATGTGGACTGCAGGCACTGAGATTTGAACCTCCGACCAGGAGATGACTGCTCTACCCACTGAACCACAAACCTGATGAAGTACTTTGACAGCTTCCTTATATGGTGTGACCTTTTACATCATTCACAGACGGAGAAATGCTACTCTGTACATCCAGTCAGCCAGGACCTACGATGAGGGAGTGTACGTGTGCGAGGCCTTCAATGCACTGGGTCAAAGCCGCAGCACAGCAGTGCTGAGAGTCGCTGGTAAGTCTTTATTAGGAAATACTTCTTATACATAATATATTTACAGAGAGACTTGATCATTTTAAAGGTTCTGTGGTGGTGTTAAAGTTAAGTTCTTTGCCGGTTTTAACATAGTAGCACTGAAGACATTGTTATTTTGGGTCTAAATAAGCCAACTATACTGCATTTCAAAGTGTTATACAATAAATGGATCTGATAGAACTCATAAGAAGATATTGTGACAGGATCACACAATATTGTTTGGTTTGTAAATCATTTAAGTTATCCCTGCATTTCTTGGCACAGAATATTGTGACAAAAATGCATTTCGTTCCAACTTTTACAAATTGCTACAATATTCATATATATGTTGGTACTCGACTCATTGTCTTAGCAATTAAAGTAGCACCTGAAGTTCCTTTCTTATGTGAAATACAGAATATGCCCTAATTTTCCTCTTCCTCCTCCCAGTGAGCCCCATCATAGTGACCTTCGTAGGCCAGGTGAACTGCAGGATCGGGGCTTCAGTGGTCCTGCCCTGCAGGGCTGTAGGGATTCAGCCCATCACACATACATGGACCAGAGGCAAAGCAGGGATTCACTCCCTCATCAGTCCCACTGCAGACACCCACATTGATGGTGAGTACAAAGTGGGATCAGATCCATTTGTGTTTATTTTCATCAAGTTTTGCAACAACATGAAAACCACCCTAGGAAGAGGAGCACACATGAAAGCTGTAGTCTGCCAGTGTCTAAACTGGATGTGAATATACTCTGCGATTCTGTGGTTTGTGACTTGTTGTCTTATTGTAGAAGATGGAGCGTTACATATTTCCAGTGTACAGTACTCTCATGCAGGGGAATATTACTGCACTGCAGAGAACCGAGCAGGACAACAACAGAGACGCACTGTCCTCACTGTCACAGGTATGTTGACATCTACTCATCATTTCAGTGATACTTTTTCTTCACTGGTGGAGTGACAAACACAAGATATTACTAAGAACATGCATGCACATATACAGTACCTTAGGCTGCATTCACATTACATGCGACTTAGATCTGTAGTGTGAACAAACTAAAGCTGATTTTTTTTTTTGTTATCAGATCTGGGTCACTTGCATATGGTACTGTAAATTATCTTATACTTGTGCTGGGAATCTTTTCATTAATGATCCACACACAAGGACACCTATAGTATATATTTATCTGACAAGACGCCTCCCTGATCACATATACACAGTTTTCTTTTTCTTGCTGTTTCTCTTTCATGTTGTCCTCTGTCCTAAGCTGAAGATCATCCAGCCAATAGAGGCAAACAGACGAGACTGGTTTTGTCTGCTGTGAGTAGTAATTTGAAAATCTCTGCTGTTGCTCGTGTGGTGACACCATTAGTAGAACATAACTAGGTACATTCACTAAAGCACTGTACATAAATACCATTTCCAGGTTCTTGTAAAGTACGTGAGTATTTACATTTTCATTTCCTTTTACTGCACTATACATTTACCTGGCAGCTGTAGTTGCTACTAACTTTTCAGATTCAGATTGTATAAGATTTTAGATGAAAACATGACAATCTCATAAACTACAATACATTGTACAATACAAGATTAAATCAGTAATTTCCAATGGATTTATTATCTGATTGTGATATGACTGGTTACAAAAGAAAACTGTCTTGGGCCCCTTCATTTTGACATTTCAGATATCTGCAGTATATGTTGTTATCTGTAAGTTGGTTTCATTTGAATAATGGTAATTATACGAGATTTTACAATAAAATCAAAGATTAGAGAAAAAATAAAAAAAATTAACCTTGTATTTTCTTTTAATCATCTCGCAACCCTTCCAACTTACCTTATGACCCTGAGATGGGGCCCTAGATCTACTAAGTAAAGGATCCAAATACTTCTTCCACCACTGAGTGGCAGTGTTTCGCTCTACATCAGTGTGCATCCAGAAGTTGTGTTTTACTTTTGACCATGTGTCTGTGCAGATTCTCAGTCATTCAGGTCATAGTAAACTGAAAAAACTTAGAAAAAAACAACTGGACTTAGATTTCTAGGTCAATGACGTTTCACCTCTCATCCAAGAGGCTTCATCAGTTCTGGAACTGATGAAGCCTCTTGGATGAGAGGTGAAACGTCTTTTGATCATGTGTGTTCTTTACAAATGTTTATGTCGGTGGCTAACATCACTGCTCAGGTATTTGTGGCCTATTAACTGCTCTCTACTTGTTTTGTGACTTGGTTTTGCTTGTGCCAAACGCTGTGCCTGTCCTTAAACTAATAGTCACTGTTTTCAAATTTTTTTAGAGCAAGAACAATGAACCACCCGTTTCCAGCAACTCTGTGGCTGCACCATACTACACAACATTGCATCATCTACATGTACAGGAACAGCATAAGGAGGCCACATGTATGTGCTTAACTTCAAATTTCAACCATCAGTTCTGTAGTACCTTTATACTCATGAAACAGTATCACTAAAATTGCCAAGATAGTGTTACAATTATTATGCAAATATGCTAACCCATGGTAAATACTATATGTGTGACCTAATATTAGGTTATCCCATAGTTTTTATTTGAGAAAGTGTTTCTAAGATGTTAAAGTAGAGACACTTTGGTGGGAGGTGATTATTAGAAACAGCTTTTCTGTTTTACTTAAATAGTGAAGACAGTTATGTTTTTCTCTACTGATTATTGTTTTCTGCAGCACAAGTGGACAAGCTAGCAAGACCAGCAGTTACCTTCAGCTCTACTCACTGGTCATGTGACCATAACTTTGTAGGTTGCAGTGGTCTGTAGAGTCTTTGTGTAAAAATGTGTATCGACTGCTGGTTTAGTTTTTACCAGTTGTACTTTATAGTGATTGAGCAGAGCCATGGTTTTCTTGTGCAATGAGGGACTGTTAGTGACATTTGATGTGTGCTCGCTTTTTGTTTTAGGACCATTTAATGTGATGGCTAATCTGGCAAGACGAAGTGAATTTCCATCCACCTGATTTTATGCACATTTTCAATTTTAGCATAAAAACCATAGTGAAAAATTCAAAAACCTTTTTACATTTTGCTGAGGTGGAAAGGTTGCTATATCAATAAAAGTAAAATGTGGCACTTTGCCACATTTTACTGAGAAACTGACTTTGCAAATAAATCATGATGTACATTGCTGTTTTTTTTATTTTTAGACTCATCACCTTACTGTGATGCTGCAACAGACGGAGTTACCACAGATTCTACAATTTTAAGGGAAGCAGTGGTGGAGCTAAAGATGTCACCATGGTCACTAGGCCGTGTGTCAGAACACCAGCTGAATCAGCCAGCAGCCAGTCCAACCCCACCGTTAGTCACACAGATGCAGCCTCCTTTGTTAGCAGCTGCTCCACATTTGATCTTCCCGTCAGTAGGTCTCCACACCCCTGTGCCAATTTCAAATGGTGAACCACCGATAACACGCAGCCAGACATCAGCAGTCACCAGTGAAGGTTTGGGTACAACCCTTCAGTATCTGCTCATTGAAAATCAGTCCCATTTGACATTAACATCATCTCATACAGGATTTCAGCATCCAGTTGGTGGCAAATTGTTGATGGAGCCTGATTCTCAGGACTCTAACATTCATGTTGCATCTCCAGCTGGTAAAACCTCAGAGCCCTTCACCAAGTTGTCTGGTTCTCAACCACAGTCAGAGCCTCCAATAACTGGACCCTTTGGTTTTCTTAAGTTGGAGTCATACTCACAGACTCCAACACAGAAGCCTTTATCCAAAACTAAAACAAGCCACTCTGGTTCAGTCACTCAGGCGCGTCAGTCTCAAACTCAGGCCCAGCAGCTGGTTACAGAAAGTAAATTTGACCAATCATACCATGAGCCAACCTCAAACCAGATTTCTCAAGCCAAACTCAAACACCCAGGTCAACCTCGCCATCAGAAAACTCATCAGCAGCCTTCATCCACCCTCTCACAACTATCTCAAGCTTATCCTAAACATTCTTTCACCGTAAGTTCTTTACCAAAGTTCCATCGTGAGCTTACAACAGTCCAGCATTTTTATTTGCCTTCCACACAAGCTCCACTTTCGTCAATCACCAAGCCTCAATCATTCCAGGTCCACAGTCACCATTCAACAACTATACCACCTTCAACCATTTCTCTACTTTCTCAAATGCAACCTCAAGCATCTCCAACACAGCATCCACAGCCTTCAGCACTGGACCCTGAAATAACAGCTGGCCATCAGGTCAACATGTCAGATCAGGTACAACTAAATGCTACTCAGCAAGGTAACACAGGTCAGTCTGCCCAATCATCCAATGACACTGACCTTACAGAGTGGCTGAAGAGGAACACCTCCCAATCACCTATGACCAGCAATGACCCCAGGTAAGTGAAATGTAAAACACTGTGCAGTCATTTCATGTAACTACAGAGATTGTGCTGTGTGTTGAAGGTAAAAACAGCACAGCAATGCAACAAGATGTCACTTCTGTTTGTCTTGCACACCCCAGAGTGACACAGCAGTCTCCATCATGGCTGCCTGTGCTGGAGAGGCATGACATCCCCATTGTGGTGGGAGTGGGTGTATCTTTGGCTTTCATCTTCATCACTGTTACCTTCTACTCAGTGGTCCAGAAGAATGAACCTGCACCAACAAGCCGAGCAGGTCAGAATGTCCTTCAAATGGCAGTGCACCTTTTTTTAAATTTAGTTTTTAAAGTTATGATAATCAAGGTAATATTTTTACACTCTGCAAAGTATGGCAGATGTTTTCTTTTTAATGAGCTTTAGAGGTGCTGTTAGGTGGATGTTGATACCTGCTAACTTGCAGATTCATATGTTACAGACATACTGTATATGGGAGTGGTATCAATCTTCTTAACTGTGTCAACGAGCAAAAAGGTGTATTTATCAAAATGTCAAACTATTTCAAAGCCGAAATGTGTCCTTGACAGCTCAGAGGAATCTAGGAGTCCCCATACGACATGCTGAACGTCGGGCTACAGGAAGAACATACGAAAACAAGTAAACACTCATTATTCAGAACAAAATGTACTTAACCTTTTGCTTCTTTGTAAATGGCACATTAAACTAGAGTGTTGTGTGACTTGTATAGAGCTTTTGAAGACGATGATTGTGTGGCAGTGATTGAGCAGAGCCCCAACACATCGGACACTCGAGCCCGACCTCCAGGTCCCAGCCTGGTCACAGTGCAGATGGAGCCGACATTTGAGGACTTTCAAGTGGACACAGACCCCGTTCTGGACAACCACTCAGTCACTGTAGAGACTTATCCTGAGCCCATTCTTGACACAAAGGTTTGATAACACAAACACATGAACATGAGACTGTGAGATCTTTATTCAGGGATATTTTTTATCTGAGGTTTAGGGGAATTTTGATCCTGCATGCATGAACATATTGAATTAACAGGATAGCATGGGGATAGCATAGAAAAGGATGGTTTGGTTTTCCCCAATCTCAGATATAACAGAAATTTACAACGGTAAAGCTAATAATAACATAGGTAACATACTATGCTAATGTGCTACACCTAACTCAGCCATTTAACATTTTTGTTTGTTTTGGTGTGTAATTAGAATTACAAACCTCATGAACTCAGATTTCTTAAGGCTTGTTATCCTCAGTTGTATCACATCAATTAAATGATCTTGCGCATTGCTAACTCTTTCAGATTGATTCTTCTCTAGAGGAGGAGAAGGGCTGCAGTTTGCCCCAGCCCAGCATTCAGTTGCAGTGTGCTGATGACTGGATCAGTAACCAAGGGGACAACAACAGCCCATGTCAGGATACCTTGCCTCCTCCATCGCCCTTACCTTCCCGTTTGCCTTCCCCCTCTCCACCATCCAGATGTGAGGATGGCCTTCGCTCTTCTTTAACTGTGCAAAGTGCTGAGCCGTGTGTAGCACCTCTCCACCACAGCCTTAGCATCTCACATGGCAACCCTCCCCTGCTTCTGTCTCACCACGTCTCCTTGGGCCTCACTACAGTTGCAGTGGATGTCCATTTTTACCCATCAGCCACTGCTTCAATGGCAGTAGGCACTAGTACTCATATTAATTCTGCCTCTAATTCCACTTCAATGGCTGCGCCTCTCTTCAGTCCCCCATTAGGTAACAGTCATGAGAACGACCAATCATCTGCCAGATTTCATCAGTGTAAGTAGCTACTGATTAAAGGTTCATGGCTGTGAATTTCTATGTTTTTGTTACTTGAGAGAATAGGAAGCATTACCCAGCTAAATGAAAATAGCTGTGCTAAAGTTAAGCATCCTACGTTACTAAACCTAAACACAATCCTTCTGAAACATCCACCTGAGGTCTCACGTTTGTAATATCAGGTTTCTCTTCTTCTAGTTCAGGATTAGACTATATATACTGTCTTGTGTTTCCAGCTGCAGCCATTACACAAGGTAGAGATCAACCTTAAGAGCACTTGTGTTATTCATTAATTCCTGTTTTGATTGGTTAGGGGTGAAGATATTTCATCACCAGCCAATCAGTGCAGGTGTTGATGACAGAGGGAAATATGGGCTGTAACGATGGAATTTGAGAAATTTAAACAACTTTGGCTGAAAAAAAATGTCAGATATATTTTAAATGCACTCAATATGAATAAAACATTTGCTAAAAACGAACATAATACCAGCGCTTTAAAAACACACCAGTTAACCACAATATGTTTCTTCATCACAAAATAAGTGGTGTACATCTTATTTTTAAAAAGGAGCACAGTGGTTACTTTTTAACATCTCTTGACTGCGCATGTGCATGGTCCCTGCTCTATTTACAGTCTGCCACTAGCTTTACACAGTACATGAGACAACGTGAGAAGCTGGTAGGATAGCCTCAGCATGTTACCTGGTGTACTACCTGTACTAGTTACATTGATTACTGTCACATGTATTATGTTAAGTATGTCATGTTATATGTTCTGAATATAACTACAGCTTTATCATGATTATTCTTGCTTTCTGTTGTTTTTATTTTTTTTAATCATGAAAAAGAAATGCATAGTTTTATTATAATTTACATAGCAGTCACATTTGTTTGATATTATGTAATTGCTTATTTCAAGTAAAGGCATAAATGTGTTGTCCTGTATTGAATTCTTTAGTGAAACAGCCAAGGATACATCAGTTTGTCAGAAAATATTGCAATTTTTTATGACAGACTGTACATAACTTGTTTCAGTGACCTGCTCATTCTCTTGTATCAAGCTACTTGACTGTTACACCTTCTTTTTTTTTGAAAATGTAAGGGGCTGTATCAATAAACATTTAGACAACACAATCAAGCTCTTTAGTAATATTTTTGCCTGTAACTCAGACATGATCCCATGCATGCTCTTTATTTCAGAATAAAAACATGTCTTCATTTACTGCTGCTAGTGTTTTTTGTTCAGGAACAGTGCTGTAAGACTAGATGTGACTAGTAGATGTTGATAATGAGAGCTTATTGGATCGATTAGTAAATTAAAGCTCAGCAGAAGGTTTCGTCAGTTTTGTGGGACATGGAAGAAGTTCACCTGTTTCACCAAATATGTAATTAGGATGCACCTTTTTTCAGTCTCACAAGAAAATTTGCAATGGGATACAGATCTCCATCTCCCATCACTCTGTCCCACAGATGATTTCTCACCACTCCTGTACAGCTTGGCAATTTCTCACAAGATTAAATGTGAGAGTAAGTCTAAAAAGTGTGGTACAAAATATCCCTGACTAAACCCTTTTAAAGCAAAACGATTACTTTTGTATATTATGTGGCGGAGTCGAGATCTTCTGTCAAACGTAAGATAACAACAGAGTTGTTATAAATGCACTGCACTACTTGATTGAGGATTGTCCAGTTTTCTTAAAGTTATGATTTGCTATTATGGTTAAAGTTGCACTCCCTGATGTTTGGAAGAAATTTTGAATTGTAGCCCCTTTGCTCAAAGTCCTTTTGAACAACACAATTCAAAGTTGGGTGTCAGGAAATACATTTATGCTCCTGCCAGACACAATTACAAGTACAATTTTCTGGCCTTGTTCTGTGACAAAAGGTCTTGAGAAGTGCCAACTGCATCAAGAGGACAACAATCAAGCCTCAATTCTTCCTGTCTTTTGTTTTTAAACAGCAACTAGACTGTGTTTTGAACAAGGCGTTGCTAGACATAAACCTCTACTGGGGGACAAGACCCTCATAACTCAAATCAGACAGTTTTTTTTCTTGAAAGTTTATTGCTTAGCCCACTATTCCACTGCCTGCTGCCAACAGGAACTGCTGGAAAAGGTAAAAATGTAAAGATATTAACCTTTATGAAAACATTTATTTCAACATACATCAAGAACATTTCTTTTCACGTTATCAATCTAAATGAATCCACTGCCAAATATAGGAGCTTGTTAAAGCTCAGATGTGTGATTTTAGTGGGGCACAGTAGATCAATACTGGGGTACATGTCACAGTAAAAAGGGTCTGACGATGCCTTTGGTTTTGATTATGATTTCTATATAATATTTAATTTACACTGAGTCAGTACATTTGAATCACTCTTTGCAGAGTAATGAGCCTTTTTCACAGCAGATCTTTTGACTTGTTATAGTAGGAAATGTGTTACTAACACCACTGACAATGGCTCAAGTGTTGAGATGAATCATGAGAATGTGACAGAGAGCCAACAAGTACACTAAACCCACTAACCCACAGTGGTCAGTTCAACCAGACTCTTTCTCATTAAAGTCATTCATGTTAGACATGATAGTATAAATAGTTTACAATCTATCGCCGTAAAAAACATATTTCCATTAGGTTCAGAGGTAAATTCTAAATTTGCTTTTGCATCCTGCTGTTTGAGCTTTAATTACATGATGTATACAGTAAGACACAAATGTTTTTCATCTTTGGTTCCTTACTATAGCAGCTACACAGTATAGTGTCGTACGTTCAGCCTGACTGCCTTCATGACACAGTGGTTTTGGTGTCATGCTCTGCCTTGTGCACATTTGTGAGAACCTCAAATTTTACATGTACACGTGAAACACAGAAGTAACACTGTTTATTTTTTTACCACCAGGAACACTACAATCTATTACTGCTTTTTTCAAGCATACAAGGAGACAAACAGCCAGTGTGAGAACTCAAACAGACACATCTCATTCAGCCATTTAGTACTGAGCCTGTAGGTTTTTCCCAATTCAAATTATTCAGAAATTTCTCACACAAAAACACACCAGATGTCACCGTCATGGTCAAAACTGGAGGAAAACTCGCTATAGTTGGTAGAATATCGAGGCCATGGGTGTTGAAATCTTTCATGGGATACGTTAAAAACTGTGACTTATTGGTGGCACTAAAGGAAGAGTCACAGGCATCTCAAATGTCAAAATTGGCATCAAAATGCCAAAATTTGTCAAAATGGCAAAATTTAATAACCTGGAAAAAACACTACAGACTCAAATAACTTTTATTTTAAAATGTCAGCATTTTCTATTGAACAGATTATACATGACATATGGTGTCAGCTAAAATGAAAAACAAATAATGTTCGCAGATCATTACTTCTTAGATTTCATACATTATTTCCTCAAATTTAAAATTCAGTGGATTCACTCTCTTCTTTGAAAAGGTATTTGTCTTAATGTTAGGGTTTTGTTTGTTTTTCTTCAAGAACATTAGGCTATGTAATGCCACCACAGAAAGGAACAAGGTGAAATAGTCAAGCTGTTACACCATAAGCAAAAGAAAATACATTTCTGAAGTTCAGAGGAACCTACTTGCTAAATGGCAATACATCTTCAGAAAATACAGAATGTAATTTATCAGCTGCATTTTCAGGAGGTACCGTAACAGATTCAGAGAAGACTGACAGTTATGGTCTGGCATCCTCCGCAGTCAGTGGCCATCAGGTAAATATTTGTTAAAGTTCAGTAGATGTTTTCCTTGGTGTTACTTTGTCCTCATTTCGTGAAACATGGAAGTCTACATACGGACACCACTTGGTATTGAGGCACACCAATTTCCTCAGAGTGGAGGTTTTGACAATATTGAAGCCCGTCATGCCCCCAAAGGTGCTGGGCTTCCAGTATTCTGGAGAGCAGATAGGGTTTCCCAGCAAACCCTTCAGGGAGAAGGGAGCACCCATCTCCACCATACTCTCACCAAATATGGCGTTAGAACGTGTTTTCTCCAGTAGGATTCCGGGGTAAAACTCCAAAGCATCAATGTCCCCGTAGAGTTCCTCTAAACCTCTGGCCATTTCTATGTCATCTGTTGGGAAAACAGCAGAAAACTCACTTAGTTTGTAAACTGTATTAGGTTATTACACACTGTTACACACTGACTTTGACAAGCATGTGTCAGAAATAAAAGAGGAATGCAAAGGGAGTTTCAAAAGCAAGTCTTAATATCTTGCCTGCTTACCAGTGAATTCATAAAAAGACGTGTATGGTTTTAGATTAAACTTCTTCCTGTATTCATTGAAGGGCTGCACACGTACTACTCTAGACTCTCTGATGACCATTTCTGCCACTTTCAGCACCGCTTCATGAGAGTTGCGACCTCCACCTATCTGAAAGGCAGAAAGGTTACAACAATGTTATTTTAATGAACTGTTTAGTAATGTCATCAGCGTCCTAAACAGTCCTTTGTCTGGTTGCTTAACAGGTAACAACTGATGTTTCATATACAGATAGCAGTGTGCAAAAACGAAGATGCTTTCTGTAGATGGAGGACAAACAGTAGTCTGACAAAACAAATTCAATTTAATCTTACCTGGGCTTTTTAGTTATCTGTCTTTCCCTTACTTATACAGTATATCATATATGGGGAAGTTATTTTCAATTTCCAGTTGTCAGAATCAAATAAAACAACTAAACTAACAAGATCGTAACTGTAGCTGTGTCATATCATTGACCTTCTATATACTTCCACTACCTGTCCTGCAGGTTGTCGAGAGAAAGCATCCACCAGCTTCTCCACCCCATAATTCATAAGCAGTGAGGTGTTGTACAAAAACTGGGAGTATGGGATTTCATCTCCATCGATGAGAAAGCTGTCAGGCATCAACGGGTGCCAGTGGTAGAGGTGGCAGAACTCCAGAGCAATGCGGTTGCTGTACTGGAAACGTTCACTGAAGAGCAGGGAGGGATCAAACTTCAGCTTCAGCAGGTAACCACTCAGGTGCTGCACGTACTCTTCTATTATAATGTTTATAATTTCTCCTAGGGGACAAAAATACCATTTCTTAATTTGGCCAGATTTGATCAAAATAGAAAAACATTTAGAAGAAGCTGGAAAATGGACATTTAAACTGAATTTGTAAAGGACTGCCAGATCTGCAATGAGGAAAGGACAGTTTTTAACATGAGTTCTTAATGGTCAAGAGTCTGTCAACACTGGCTGATATAATGTAGTTTAAAAATTAAGAATTATTTTTAGAACAAAGCAGTACTGTGTTAGTTCTAGTCATTGTGCCATAGAGAAAAACGATTTGCCAATACTGACACAAACTTGTGATTTAAACTGTGTATGTCTGCTCCTGATGCCCTCACCGATGATGATGAGTCTGGTGGTCTGGAACAGCTGTTCATCATCCCAGGTGGGATGTTCTGCCTTAAGGATGTCACAGACTCTGTTATGCTCCCTCAGCCATATGGTGGCGTACATGGTAAGGCCTGGCAGCATACCAAATAATTCCTGACCAGTGACCAGACGCTGCTCTGGAGAGAAACCTGCAGGATACACCATGTGCAGAGGGACCTCGGCTACTGTAGGTGGGTACATCTCACCTTTTACTAACTTTAGAAAAACAAAAACAGCAATCAACATATGAGGGTGTAAGGGACGGTTCAGACAACAGAAACAGCACTTCCTCTACAACCCACTGGGAATGCTGGTCATCAACGTAATCAAATCAAATGGCTGTCTCAGAGTGATCTGACACCAACATTCAAAATAAGGAGTCCTTATCACCTGCATAGCCATTAAACAAAAACACCAACCCTGACACCTGTAAAACTGAGCCAACAGCCGGGGATTCTTCAGTGTGCATCTGTAATTTTTCTTACAGTAATTCCCCCTTTAAACCATTTCACCATCCTAAATCCTTACAGTACATTTGTTGACCCACAGTGTCATGGTTACCTGGCCACTTCCTGTGTTAAGCTCTTCCTGTTTTGAAATTATTTCCTGTATTGTGCCATCCTCACCAGCCCAACTTGACTCTCCATGATTGACCTCAGTCACATTCACCTGCTGCTCGTTATCCCTGCCTGTCTGTCTTTTATAATCACTCACCTCCATCAGCTTGTCATCACATGCTCGTTGGTTTGTAGTACTTATTTAAGAATTTGCTTTAGCTTTTTTTAACTTCATGGATTAATGCTCTTTATGTTACCCTCCTGTGGGCTATTTAAGGACTCACCCCTTTATGTGCTGGTCAGTTTTGTTTTCATGCATTGCCTCAGTTTTGTTGCATGTAGTTTATTTAGGTTACACCAAATATTTTCTTCTTGTTTTTACTTATCATTTTTCTGTTGGGGTTTGCTATTTTGTTTTTAGTTCTGACTAGGTTGGTGGTTTCAGTCTTGAGCATTCTTTGCTTCTGTATTCCCGTTCAGCCCACTAACTTGTGCAGACAAGTTCTGTTAACTGTGTGGAATTGTCAATTGCATGTTGACAATGTTATGTTTAAGTTTTTAAGCCTTTTTGTTCAGACATACTGTAAGTTTTTGGTTTGTCCATGTCTGTGAGAAGTCTATTTGGTTTACATCAGGCCTTTGTTATGTGCCTGTTCTTTTCCACCTGATGGCAATTTTCATTAAAGTTGCTAAAAGAATTTTAAAGACTTCCTTTTGAGTTGCATTTTGGCCCAAACCCAACACAAACTCAGTGCTGATGGTCATGGCTAGATTCAAAAGTACCACAGTGTCATATTCATGAAATATCCTCAAGTAGATTGTTAGATAATGGTTTGAGGGAGTGCCTTTACAAACCGTTATCTGCCTTTAACCACTTTAGGGTCATATGATTATCTATAAAGTATCACTGCTATCAGAAAAACATTCTCAGAAACTGTGACGCACAAAGAGAGGGTTATCTAATACTGATACCACTGAGATGCACAGAACATAGCTCTTGGCGATCAGTTCTTGTGCAGTTATCTTGCTACAGAGTCACATACAGACATGAGTGATATCAGTCTTCAACAGCAAGTAAGCATGTAAAATGTAAATGTTTCCTAAAATGTCTTTTTCTTTTTTTTACCTGATATTTCAGTTTTCCATCTTTATGAAGCCGGAGCTGAAGCTGGCGTGTGAGGGTTTCTCCATAAATATTGCTCGCATCTACCTGGGTTAGTAAGAAAATTCATACATTTGGCAAAAAATTCAAATATTAAACATATTTTAATCCTAATTGTCTAAGTGAACTCCTGGTTGTAGCTGATTGATGAACATACAATATATCTCACCCCATGTCCCATAGCCTTGGTGAAGCCCCCATGAACGTCATGGTTTGTCTTGAAAAACTGGTGGGTGAAGTGTTGGGCCATGAAGGCAAACATCAGATTGGTTCCTTGAGGATCTGGTCGAAATTTGGTTCTTTTAAAAAACCTCTCAGCCAGCACTTTGGGATCAGGAAGAACAGGTTTACCTGTAATAGATATTTTAAGATGTCATCAGGAGCACTTTGGGGCACTGTGTAAACATTTTTTAAATAGTGAACAAAGCTTTTATTTGGGACAGGACGGTATTCTTTCTAATTTACCCTATTCTGCAGTGAATATAAACTCCAAACTTTCTCAGTGTTTCCTTGTTGCCTCTATAAATTCAGGATAATGTCAATTTCCACAACTAAACTCAACACTGCTGTAATTTTCACATTAAAAGTCTTCCAGCCTTTACAAGTAGGCTTTTAATGTGGAAAAAACATCAAAAAAGTATTAAATTTTATTGACATTAGCTCAAAATTGGTTGAAGGAATATAAGAATTGGAAGAACTAGAATTGGAGTATGAGCAAATTGTTTATGCTACAAAAGAGGAACTCAGAACAGCACAGTGACACCTTTAGTTCCCATGGGCAAAGGGCAGTCTTCAGGTACAGGAGGGAGGAGACGGGTGTAGTAGGAGACGTTGTAGTACGACTCCCAGCTCAGGTATCCATATTTGGTGTTGTAGGTCGGAGGGCTTGGTATGATGTTGCTTCTGACTTTAGGAGAAAATGACATAGCGCAGTTGACTACGAACTTCTTTTTCATGCATGTCCTGTTTTGAGAACCTTTCATTGGAAATAATGAACCACCATAGTTGGGCACTTAATTAATTCTCAGGCAAATGGCATGTATATATATGAGAGAAAGAGAGAGAGTTCAATAAATCCCATGAAAAGACCAACAATGAAGTGATCTTAGCATGTATTTATGTTGTAATTAAAGCCTAATGGAGCTCACTCCTTTGTCCCACTTCCTCTTTGTTCTATTACAGCAAATCAATTGTCACCCATTGCAAAGAAGGGGCTGTGTTACTCCATGTCCTTCAACATGGGCACTGTAGTTTGTTACTCAAACCACACAAACATCATCCAGCTGTTGTAAATGCCTGCACAACAAATTTATAATCTACAGCTGAAAATAGTCCCCAGTCTGTCAAATACTTAAGGCGATTTTCAATGAAGCTCTGTTCATGATCTATTTTTAAAGAACCAGCGGGCTTGGAACTGACTGCCCAAGTGAGGGGCAATCGAACATACCTTTTCTGTTGATAATAAGGGAAATGGCACCAATCTTAATCTCTTCTCTCAGCCTGAGACTGCTTACTAGCAATATTATCAAAGGAAATCCTGATGCTTACTTTAAGTCAGTTCCTCTTGTGGCCACAATCAGTCTTCTGCAACTTAAAATTTAATCTTTATAATCACAAAACACATTAAAATAAGCACTTGGTGCTCAGATTAAATTAAGCTCTTTTATTCACTTGGTAGGTTTCTCTCTCTCTCTCTCTCTCTGTGTGTGTGTGTGTGTGTGTGTGTGTATATATATGGCACTTGTATCATATTGTGAACAGACATAACAGAACTAAAGCAAATACTGGGAAAAAAATAAATGCAAGTTATATTGATTTATTTGTGATTCTGCTGATTGGTCATCATGTTTGGGTGTTTTAACCTTATCACTCACCCGTCAGCACTAATCTCATAATGGTGTCTTGCAAGAAAGAGTTGTTGACAAGGTACCAGAACCACTGGAAGTGGGTGAGGATGTAATGAGCCACCTTAGGGCTGGGCTTCAGCATTAGATGAACTCTGGTCCAGAACTCAGCTACAGTGCACACAAGGATCAAGAATAAATATTGTTAGTGTCTTCTGAAACAGCCCCAAATTAGCATTTAAAACATTTCTCACATTACAACAATATGGTAAAAGTTTGGTTAGGTTTAAGCTCCAAATTAGCTTTGTTAAATTTAGGAAAAGATCAAAGTTGGACTATGGTTCAAATTACTTTAAGGTTCAGAAATGATTATGCACATTTACAGTCCTTTTATCTACCTGCCAGTGGTTAAAGAAAAGATTCTGAATATTATTAAATGACCACAAGCTGAATATTACAGTATAGAAATAAATGAATGGATTAAAATTTTGGATTGTGAGCACTTTTTTTTTCTGTTTTTTCATTGCTGTGGAAACACTCTGTAATGGGCAGATGCAAATATAATAAGAGCCTGGGAGTACTGTAGTGTTTTAGACATTAAGCTAACAAAGATACTTAGAGGTTGAACACACCATCATTTGGAGGACAGCTGGGCTGTGACTTTTCAATGAGCCTACTTGCTTACTTACGAACAGTGCAGTTTTCTCCATAGAAGCCGGTACGAGTACAGTCACATTTGAAGAGATCAGTACCAAATCTCACACAGACTCCTGAGTTCTGACACGGGTAGTAACAACAGGGATTCACTGCAAAAAAAAAAAAAAAAATTCTTTTGTATTGTATGAATAACTGGTGTCACTGGAAGCTCCTGTTAGACTGTGAGGCTCAGGGGCTGCCACAGGTTCTCTCTGGAATCTAATGGGCAACCCAACCCCTGCTGTCTCCTATCTGAGTAAGAAGATGAACCTCTGTGTCCTTTTAGAAAAACATCCATCCATCCATCCATTTTCTATACCGCTTTGTCCCAAACAGGGTCACGGGGGGCTGGAGCCAATCCCAGCCAGCTGCGGGCGAGGGGTGGGGTACACCCTGGACAGGTCGTTAGAAAAACATCAAAAATCAAACTACTACTAAGACATGAAACCACTACTGAGATGCAAAGAGAGAAACACTAAAAAAATTCACAAAATGAACACAAATTGACCAAAAGACTCAAAACAACTACAGAATGACACAATGACAAAACCATGGCGAAGAGAAACGATAAGACACTCCATCATTTGTAGTCATTGTGTGCTTTTTATTTTCTAGGTGTCTTGCTTGTCCCATAATTTGTACATAGTTGTAGGATGACAGCAGCTATTTATTCATTCATTCATTTTCTACCGCTTAGTCCCTGAACGGGGTCACGGGGGGGCTGGAGCCAATCCCAGCCGGCAATCGGGCGAAGGCCGGGTACACCCTGGACAGGTCGCCAATCCATCGCAGGGCTAACACAGAAATGAACAACCACACACACGCACACACACACACTCCTATGGGCAATTTTAGAGACACCAATCAACCTAAGCTATTAGAATTAGAATATTTATTAGTTGTTTCTTTGGTATGTACCTAAACCAAACAAACCATATAAGTAGTAATAGTACACAGTTTGGTATTGGCAAGATGCAGGTTAATAAACCTGCCCATCTGAAGTGACTCTCAGATGTTGTAATAATACTGAAAGAAAGCTGGGAAACCAAAGACAGATGACCTAAAGGTGCTGAATTAATTAACATATACAATAAGTGTGTACTGATACCACACATGCCCCATTAAATCATTGCCTTTAAAGCTGAAAATAACCCTAAACGCATAACTAACATTAACTAACTAACATTAACACTACCCTGAAAACATAGTCACTGCCACTGAGGCGAAAATGAGCTGCTCAGTGGCCAATAGATCAGACTGCAGTTCTACTGGATAGCTTCCACATGCGTGCTGTTGCAACATAAGAACTGGTTTACTAAATTTTGCATGTGGGTAAAAAGTTTCTGCCTCTTCCTAGTATGTATCTCAACCACCTCTCTGTATTTTTAACATTGAGCTGTTGTATTATGGCTTCCTGTGCTCCCCTTACACTTGCAGAAGTTTATTGAGATAATGTGACACTGCAGCTTTTTCCTTCCTCATGGGCTGTTGAGTGAGACCACAGATAAGCATGTCTGCCCTACAGGGACAGCAGATCGATTTAGTTTTGCATGCATGTTTTACTCTAAATACTACAGATGTGTTGATATGTAGGATGAACTCTACAGGGAAGCCCAGGATAGATCACATGCAAAGTTACCTTCTTCTGCTTCATTGTGCAAATTCACACAAAAAGCAAACATTTTTTAACATTGCTAATATTCCCTATGGTATGATCTACATTACTCTCTAAGCTGCACACAAGTCCATTTATCCATGTATCCGTTTGGGAATAGAGCCTATCTGCACTGGGTAAATAAAGGCCAAGGAAACAGCCTGGACGTGTCACAAGGCTAAAAATAAAATAACATTTCCAATTAAACTTAAATGAAGTGACCTGAACTTAATCAAATCAGACCAAACAGTTGTGCCATTGTCAGCCTCACATCATATATATCATCACAACTGGAGGTTTATCAGCTTCGACTATTACTCTGTTTTTATTTTGTTACACTTGTGCACACAATCTTGTATGCACAACTTGCACAGGTTTTGGGACCTTGAGAGCTCCACGGCTTTTGATTATTTTTGATACTTGAAGTGCATTAAGCTGGCAATATGTTTGTTCTTTTACTAAAGTAGAATATTTAATGCTGGATTTTTACTCGCAACAGAGTATTTGTACTGTATATTGTTGTATTCATTACTTAAATAACGGTTCTGAATACTTTTTCCACAACCGGTTATTAAAACATAGCTATTTGAGAGGATGACAAACCGAAGGAAGAGAAAGACAACTTGATGACAAGTAACCTAAAGGAGAATACTGGGTTATGTACAACATTCAACAACACAATGCCGTATACACTCAGTTTATTAGGTCTCATAGCTAAGACTAAGTCATTCTAACATAACAGTGCTGCAATAAATCCTCCTTCATGAAGGTGATAATGTTCAGTCTGTGTTGAAACTGTTTCAGAGAGACATTAAATCAACTATATGATCATTTGGGAAGATGTGATTATGTGCTATTCCTTCATTGACAGGTGTTTCTAATATTTGGTTATCAGTGAGAATAGACTAAAAACAAAAACATTTCTGTCTTAAGTTGAGATGAAAGCAAAACCTGCTTACCAACACCTGTGTCATCAGCACATGATGAGCTCCCCAGCAGCACCAGGTTGATAAACATCCACATGGAGAAGATGCTAAACTCTATTAAAAAAAACAAAATCAATGATGATTGAATATCATAACTGTTATGGGCAGATTTTGAACAAAATAAAATCTGAACTCACCTCTCATGACTGCCTCACCCTACTAAAGCTCAAAATTAAATTAGAGCTGTCTAAAACTGGCTCACAGTTATATTGTGTTTCTGAAAAGATTTGAGAGATGGGGGGTTGGTTACTCCCTCTATAACAGCACTGACTGACATGGTCTACTGGCTTTTTAATAGGCGGTAACACTGTTTCCTCTACTTCCTCCATTTAGTCATCTATAGATTTCAAGGAAACCCCACTGCAACTCACTGCCATTTGGTGCCAAATAATTTAGATTTGATCATTTTTAGATTGGTTGCTCTCAGGATAGTGTGCAAACCAATCTACTGTGCATTTTGTTTAGAGTAAACAGTCCTATCTTCAAATGATGTCCAATAATGTTTTTATGTGTCATTCATATCAGTATAGTGAAAGGAAACAAAAACCCAGTGAAACTCAAGGAAAAGTTGAAAGCACTACATCTCCACCTGCTGGCAAATGAACATACTGTAACTCCCTTGTAGACTTTCAAATTAATTTTCCTACATTTTACAGTGATCACAGGCATTTTTCAGAACAGGCATTTTGAGATGTCATAGTAGGAAAAAGCACAGGTGTAAGTGATAACACTCACAATGGCTGCATTACATTTGTGTGAGCCATTTCCAGGATCATGGTATTGTGCATGCTTGCTGAGTGGTATTGTTTAGTGGGACACATAATGGAATTCAGCTATTAATGTTAAGACAATAAAGGTCTACACATGGACAGATTACAAGACAAAGGGTCCTTGGGCACAGATATGTGCAATGGAGTGAGAGACCCAGACTGAAAAAGACCCAAAATGATGATATGCATGGTCATTCTGCACTTATTTGTAATCATTTTGCATGCTTTTGTAGTATTTTTGTGACTCATTGTGGTTGTTTTACATAGCTGATTTGTATTATTGTAGTTGTTTTGAGTCTTTTTGCTCCTTTATTATTCATCTATTTGTTGTAGTTTTGCATGTCTTTGTGGTTGTTTTGTCTTTTTCAAGTCATTTATTTCTAACAAAAAAGCTTAGCAGTCAAACCCTTGGCCCAGGGGCCCTCCTAGATGCTTGGGCTCCTGGACCTATGCCCAATGATCCATCCATGGGTCCACAACTTGGAGGATGCAGGGTGCATCACATCTGATACTCTATTTGATTTCTATATAATGTTTGATCACTCAGGTTATGTTAACAGAAGTGATACGGAGTAAATGTGTGATTATTGGAGCCCCTGGATGTCTGAAGCCCCAGGGGACTTTCCCGGCTGGTGATCTGACCTCACCGATACTGATGGAGAGAGCTCTTTCTGTCTTTGTGTTGTTTTATTGGTAACTTCAGTTCTCTAAGAATTGGTGGTATATTACAGCTATTTACTGTACTAGACAGGTTTTTGTATCATAGCATTGTGTTTGTCATTGATATCATTTCTGTATATGGATGTTAGATGCTTTGTGTGTTATTTAGTAGCTACAGCTGTTGCTCATATGGATATAAATAAACTGTAGGTGTAACACTGTCTACCTATGTTCTATAGCCATGCCCAATAAAGTAATATTTTATTTAATTTTTTTAAGTTTCTTGACTATTTCTATTGCTATGGATGTGTTCTGTTTGCTAGCTTCCTCGCTCTCTTTGTCTTCCTGATCATACAGTGATGAGAAGGCTCGGAAACACCCTGCAGAGGTCAGCAGTTAAAAAGTAACTCAAGACATAAACACTGACACTGGTTGGTAATTGGCATCTTTTTCGCCTGTTGAAGTAAAAGTAGTTTCTTACATACTGTAGTAATTTTAGGACCAGCTTCTCTGCAATGTCCACATGGAGAGAAGTTCAGTCATGAACCATGTTCAGTTAACTCTTCTAAACTTTTACATTCCATATCTCTCTGATGCTTCATATTATGTCACTGAATATGTTTATTTAAACTGGAGCAGTGTCAGAAAATTATTTATTTCATTATAAGTCAGTTTGTCAGGTTTAATTTTTCTCAATCTGTTACATTAAATTTCAACAGCTGAATCGTCCTGCCAACCATAAACCACAAGAGCAGTGATAATATTCCTTTTCAACATCCCGTCATCTCTGAGGAGGCAGCACTATGCATTGTGGTTCACATGCTGTTCCACTTTAGCCCAGAACTGTATGAGCTCAGCTTCTTGTCACTCTGAGAGCGTGATGTATTGTCTGCCAAGTTTGTGTTGTAGGGTGTGTTTGTGAGCAGCCTTAGCTGCAAGACAAAGAGACAATCCTGATGCTCCTACAGTATGCTACTGTATATGCTCCCAAAACTAATGTGAACATCTTACAGTCTTCCTCAGAAATAATTGTTTCGAATCTACAGCAAGGATATGCTGAACAAATGTGACTTTAAAAATTAACATGTTTGAAAATCGGATTTTCTTTTGATAAACAGTTTAGCTAAAATGAACTACTGAAACTGTGATATCATACACTAAATGCATGTGAATGAAAAATTCCTCCTTCCACCCGACTCAAAGAAATTATAATTTTTTTTAGTTCAATCAGTCTGAAGCTGTTGTTCCTGTATGTTTATTTTAAACTGTTTTGTTCCTGTCAGGATTTTATTACTCTAAGTGGTAAGCATTTACAGTTTTACCCTTCACATTCAATCTGTTTAAATCTAAAATCAGTGACAAACAAACGACAGCAGGTAAATATTATTTTCTGCATTTGTAGCAGTGTCAACTATTGTTTCATTAGAACTGTACGATAATTAGGAATAAATGAGGAGCACAGGAATGTAGCACAACATCTTTACAGTACCTCCCACTGAGACTGAGACACTCATTATTTAGATGGATCAGTACACTACGTGTCAACAGTTGTGGTTGTTTCACTCTGGATACATTTAGAAATAATCAGAAATGATTAGAAATAATCATTTTTTTATGTTTTCAGTACTTTGTGTTTCTGTAGTGTTTAGTCTTGAAGTTTTTTAACCAAAGCTTGCGTGGACTGTGGCGTCCATACATCACTCTTCAGTGGATGTTTAATACACCAGCCAAACCAACCTCTGCAGAATCAAACAGTAAACTGTATTTGAATTACGTTTTGTTTCCTAGACGTGATTGATATAAAAAAAGAATGAGACACATCAGGAACTAATTATCAAATCATTGTTTCCCGCCTTACAAGTACCTGAAAAGGACTTCTATCCACCAAGGGCTCATAGACATGCTGCTGGTTGCCATGGTTCTGCTGGCACTGGCTGTAGATCGAGGCTCATTTCTTCCTATAGCATTCCTGGTAATTGAGGTCAGATGCTCCTGTGAGTCAAACCTGGACCGGGAGTAACCTGGAAGCATTTATTTTACAGAGATGTTTAGTTAAGCCACTCCAAACGAGCCTCGGTCCAGCTCTGGTGATGAATACGATTGGCGAAAGCACTGGAGGCCGGTTTCTGGCTTCTTCCTTCCCCCGGATCAGGTTACAGATTAGCAGACTTCCTGTCCAGTTGTGGAACAAGCCAGCCCAACTGAAGGAGCAGCAACAGGCATTTATAGACGAGGGCATCATGCACTATGTCAGAGGAGGTTTCTGACAAAGCCATACAGCAGTGGGACCTCAAATATCCCACCAGGTATTATTTGTTAAGCCTGTTAGGTGACGCAGCTGACTGTAGACAGAACTGACCTCTGAAGTCAGCTGGTGGTCCACAATTACTGTAGGCAGTGGTTTAAAGTAACATTTAGTATGTAGCCCAACTGTACTTAAAGCTGCACTAGTCAGTATTTAACATATTAACAATGGATTAAATGACCATGGCCCTGTTCAGACCTGGCATTAACATGCATCCTGGGAAATCTGAACACAGCTCTAAGAGCGTGTTCACACCTGGCATTAACATGCGTACACAAATGACTCCTCAGTGATTGGATCTGACCGCCCCCCATCCAATAAACACGTACATCATTTCCCCTTGCAAATACCAAATGCGTTTTTAATTTTAAACCCTCAGAGGCAGCAGCCAGAAATAACAAGACGAAGAAGATCTGCCATGCAAATACAAAGAGGAAATCGAAACAACACAATTCCTTGGTGTTCCAGACAAACCTAATCATCCAGAATGTTAGATGCACTCACTGCCCGGATTATTTAAACTGCAAAGGAAGCCATTCCATTATTCTGCAAGCTGTTGTTGATCACCTCTGTCTGTTAGTAGCACACACATACCCAGTGAGCCAAGATATACAAATGTACTGTGCTCTATGTCTTTTCGGGCATAATGTACAGATGTATAAATAGTGCAAAACAACATGTATGTATTACTTACTCAATCTGTCCCAGGACACATTCGTGTTCAGACTAGGAAGAGAATGTGGACACGTGTGTCCCAGACCACCTTCGAATATGTGCTGTGTGATTGGATTTGACTCTGTCCTGGAGTGTGCTCACACCTGGCATTAGTACTAGCCACTTGTGTTTGGAATTCCCAGGACACATGTTAACGCCAGGTCTGAACAAGGCCTATGCGTAATGTGACTGACCCTCAGAGAGTTCATTGTTTTGGTAGTCTGCCGATGAAAACTTGGCTGAGGTTCAGCGTACCAGCCATAGCATGTAATTCAAAAGCACTGATCAAGTGATTGTATGCTAAATGCCCAGCGCCAAACAGTAGACAGGCAAATTCAGCTACTAGCTTGTGAGCATAGCATACATTTACCATACCAGTTTTGTTTGTCTGTTACTTTTCATGTTTGCTGAGCTTAATTCACTCATATGCTGTAGATAATCACTGGGTCCACATATTGTACCGTGACTGTAAGTGGTCACAGTGGTCAAACTTTTTACACTACATGCTGCATTTGAGCTCAGTGGGAGGAGCGAGATTTGGACTCATTCATCAGCTGTCAGAGAGCTGGCACAGTTCACTGTAAAAAAAACATGAGTCCCCTTGCTGCGCTGTAGTCACACAAACCACATTTTAAGTGTTCATGGTATAGAGTCCAGCCCTCAAAAGTTAAGGGTGCATTTGTAGCTGATTATCCATCAATGTGACACTGGAACAGAAGTTTCTCTGCTTTTTATCACACTTCAGCTCAATATGGTGCA